GAGAGACTGCACTTGAGGTAGCAGCACCAGCCAGCTCTGCCAGCCCAGAAAGCACCGCACCGCCGCAGCCAAACCCAACCCAACCAGAGAGAACCAGCGGCAGCGGAACGCTGGGTGGGATGGCCATGGCCCATGGCATGGCAAGGACAATCAAGGGGGCGTCACGACTGCCTCAACTCATCGCTTGAGGCAAAAGATTGACGCTCCCCTCAAACCAGGTTCTGTTTCTAAACGGAGTAGAGCACCAGGCGATCCGTGATCACGGAGCAATGACGACAAAAATCATCGCCAAATTTGCTGACGCTGCCCAACCGCATCTCTGTGCAACACATGAAAACATGTCGTGGATGACTACTACCCACAGATAGAAGCAGCATCACGAAGACATGCTTCTGTCCAAGATTGGAAGAAATTCCTCCTGTGGCCGTCTGTACAAACCCCATTATTGAGAAGCTGTGATCCAAACATTTGGAGTGCGACAGCTGGATCGCTCGAGTCAAGCTCCAGTCGGGCGGCTACGGCTACGGCTCAGGAATCCGGCGACAACTTGAGGCTGTCCATGATACAACACACAGATACACTAGAAGCAAAGGAAAAAAGAGTCACGATGCCCCCCAAAATTCTGTCAGCATAAGGTAGCATCCTGGTAGTTCCCACTGTTGGGATTCGCAACCACAACCCACCACACCTTTGAACACAAATGGGACCCCGGCACGAGCTTGCTACCTAACACCAGCTTTTTTTTTCCCCTTCACCTGGGAGGTATGGTGGGATGGGAGGGGAGAGTGCAGAGAAAAGCCTGGGAGTCTTCTTTATTACGGACACGGAGTACAAGTAGGTAACCATCACGTTGCCCTACTGTTCCGTACACCCACTATCCCATCACGTCCCACGCGCTGTGGGTGGACCCTGAAATTCTCAAGTCCTGTGGAAGTTTTTCTCCTCACTCGAGCTTGTCAAACTTGTGTGCAATCATAACGGCCATTTTACATAACCTAGAGCCCCATCTGCACCAACGAGAGGCAACTACATTTCTATGTCCAACCTCGTGATGACTCGCTCATCGGTATGAGCCCTGGCACCCAAATTCCAAAGGATTTCTTTCAATGAGAATATGGCAAAATGGCTCACAGAATGCGAAAAACGAACCGTGATGCCGCCGCCACCCTTCCAGGATTGCTGCTTGTCGAGCCGCCAAGGCCCAAGGGACCACCCCGCTGTTCAAACACAATCAAGCTGTCGTGAGTTGGTGATGTCATGATCATCCCCCGGCACTTGGCACAGTGCCGACTTTCCCGCTCGCCCACGCACCTTGATCATCTCAGCAGATTATTTCAGGCCTTCTTCAGCACGCTCTTGGGGCAATCCCAGTGCTGAAGGCCGCTATTCATCTGCTAGCCAGACGCATAAAACTCAAGTTATATACAGTGTGAGCGACTCACCGTTTTCACTGTCTTCAACTCACCCCCAATCGTACCTTGGAAATCGTGAGACATTTTCCAGTACCTCGTGGTCATATCATTGCCTCCATGGGAAGGTATATCAGCAATCCTCATCATAATCGCATGAAGAGCAACAGGCCGCTTCTCGGCAACTTGGCAGCCGCCGGCCGCTAGCAATAAAACGCACTCCCAGACAACAACGGACACAACGGACACAATCGGGTATTGGCTCTTTGACTATTCATGCTTGCGTGACCTTTGGCAAGGCTATAGTCATTCAAAAACGGCCACTCCCGGGAGTATGAGGCAATGTCGAATATCAAAATTATCGCTGGAGGCTTAGCAATTTTTTGTACGCCCTCCGGAATAAAGGCTCTTGGGCGGGATGACGACATTTGCTGACTGTGCCCCTACCCACGGTCGGGATTGGGCACACCAGGTGTAACCCTTCTTATGCTGTCCTACAGAGCACTCACAAAATGTGACACGTACTGCCGGAAACGCTGCGCCTATTCGCTGAGCACCCCTCTCTCAAGACTGCTTGACTGCCTCTCTGCGGGATACCCCCAGTTGGAGTCGGCATGATACCGATGAACTCAGTGACATCACGATGCTTAGACCCTCAGCCCCTTTTTTTGGTTTTTGAGAGCAGGAGGCAGGAGGTAAGACATTTTCGATTCTCCTGCAGCTCCAAATGAACGATATCTAGCAATCGTTATTGCGTGCACTGGGACACCTGAAACTTCCGTGTGTTAATACGGAGTAGTCTCTACTTTATTTTTCTGCCAACTGTCTCCCCGTAGGTAATAAATCGCGACTCCGTGCTTTTTAAGTGGGAACATTCTCAACCACAAGAGGGTAAATATGGGAGGGGAAAACCGAGGCCTTGCCAGAAACGTTCGAACTTACATGGCATTCTGGCTTTAATGCAGGAACCTCATCTCCAGCAGAAATTCGCGAATGATCGGCCAGTTGAGCCCTCATCGCAAGAGAGATGATAATAATAATAAATACCACGCACAAACACACTCACTCTCTCGCGCGGCTACCACTACACTAGAACTCTTTCAGACCGCTTGTTCGACGGTTTCGAAATCGCCTTTGCGCATTGAGGATTGCAGCTGATCGTCCGCCTCCATTCCATTGATTCGACATTCGGCGGACATTCTCTACCTTTCGCGCCGCCGATCCTCATCGCTCCCAGATAGGGCCAAATCGCGGAGAACCAAAAAGCCTTGTTTGGGGACATGATTTCCCCTTCCACAAATGACGGGGAATTGACGTGATTTTCACACCGGAAAACATGACCGGTGGCCAAAGCGATTCTTGCTCGGTCTCCCGTGGCGGTGGGCAACATGATCAGAATTGTTTGTGTACGAGCAGCATTTTCTCTCCGTCACATTTGATGCCCTCATGAGCTGTCTTTCTTCTTCGCCGCCAATATGGCGGTGGACAATTAAGCAATTCAATCCAAGACTAGCCTGAAAGTACGCCCAATTAGGCCCGCTACCTAGTTCAGGATTGGGAATTGGCAGATGACATTTTCCCATTCCGTCGACGGACTAGTGAGCTGCTTGTCCACCTCTAACCGTTCATGGTCCCCACACAGTAACCGCACACACTGTCTGTGTCCCAGGGCAAGGGCAGGATGGGATACACTAATCGTAGTAGAGCCTGATGACTTTTCCTGCTCGGTTCTCGATATCAATGTTTGGTTGTTCGGCAGCCCAACCGGCGAGGGAGCGGGAGGGTAGAAGCTTTTTCCCTCTGCGCTGCTCCACTGTCGGTGCTTCCTTGGTCGTATTGTGGCTCAGGAAAATTGCCCAGCAGACCTTCGGTTCGCCCGTTTCTCTGGGTAACAATCGCGCACGTGTGGGACCCTTGAGCCAAGTCGTGTCCAACATGGCTCAGCTTGTTTTGACGAAATGGACTAAAACTCGGCAAATACTAGGTATTTGGAAATGGGAATCACCAAAAAAAGGGCAGACCCAGCAACTCCGTGAAGTCAAAACTTGGGAAACCCCTTGTACAAGGAGGAATGGTCTCCATCGACGATGGTTGCCTCCCGTGGGGGGCCTTCAAGTTTCGTGTTTAGGTAGGTACCGTACCTAGGACTCTGTTTTTCCTCATGCAGATGTGACCTCTGTATCTTTGACCGAGGCCTAATTTCAGCAGGCCCCGTAGCAACACGCAACCTACGGAACCATTCCCGGGCGACGCGCCTGGCATCGTGAATCCCGGGTCCCCGATTCCCCATCAGCTGACATGTGTTCGGAGAAAGTCCCACGTGAGGGCCCTGGCCACGGATTTTAGCGACTCTTTCCAGCATCAAACACCAAGAAAATTCGCCTCCCTATCTCGTGATGATCATAGCATGAATGACCGCGCCCTTTTTTGGCTCCTCTCTGCACAATACGCCACCCGGCTAATCCAGCAGGCAGGCTGAGTTCAAGAAGTCCCCTCCCGTATCCGTTTCTCATGACGCGTCGTTCACGAAAGACGAGAGGGAGCGAGAGAAAGAGGGAGAGGCTGTGTTTCTTCTAGATAGTTGCGACCCGAGCTTCAACTCCATCTTCGCTCTTTTCTCGCGCTGTGCTAGCTAGACAAGTGCACGATGTGCGAATCCGCATCGCGTCCCGTCCGTCCGACGATTATGGAAGAAATCTTTTTGTGAGCAAGGTCCTCCTACAGAACTTTCCCCCCTTCCCAACCATGTGGGGAGGTTTCCGCGTTTCCAGAAGCGGGTCTTGGATTTGCTGTTTCTCCCAGATCATCTCCTTGTTTTTTTGTTCTTGTGTTGCAGCAGGATATCCAAAAACTCTGGAGCCTGATTTTCGATATATTGGGCAGCTGCCAGATTTCGTGTAAGGTATATCAAAGGCAAAACAAGGCAAAAATAGAAGGTCTCCTCCCTCAATCCCCATCCCATATCGCCATTCCCGCTTTCTTTGCCCAAATGGAGCAGAGGGGATCGGGATCGCCTGTAGTGTCGAAGTTTTTCGGCAGCGCCTTTTTTTTCATTTCGAACCCACGGCAAATTATGGTTAAATCAAGTAAAAGAAAAACAAAAATTACCCGTTCCCAAAGCCCATATCGGGAGACGTTTGAGTAGATCATATGGGACACACAGATCACGTCTCCGTCTACCAAAAGACAGATCAATATTTCGGCATGCCCGCCCAGGGCGCCCGGCTCGGCGAGAGCCGTATCGCGCGGATAACATGGGCTGACTTGTGATCCATCGTGATCATGTAGGAGTATTATGAACAGCAGCGCGTTAGCGGAGTGTGAAATGCTCAAGTGATGCGTAATAATCAAATTCATCGAGATGTGGTGAAAGCCCACTAGAAGTGTGGTTAGCACGAGTGATGAGTCACTATACATGGGTTTCCTATATTCCAGGTCCATCAAAAGGACAAATGGAGAAAAAAAATCCATGTCTCGCATCATGGAGATTCGGAAAGAAATAAACATCAATGGTTTGAAGATTGGGAAATTGATAGGCGGCATCGTGATGCAGAATATAATTAAAAGTCAAAAATGCAAAAAGAAAGAACACTCCGAATCGGGGAATCGAACCCCGAGCTCCGCGGTAGTAAGACAGAGTCTTGAAAACGCGAAATGTTGACCGTTACACCAATTCGGATTGGTGGTTGATGATGATTTGCAGCTTATGCAGTACTATGATATGCACAATATTAGGCTGCCCGAACTAAGCATTCCTTTGGGGGCTGTTCGTGGGAACGCAATACAGATCTGTCAGCAGATAGCACAGTTTGTAGTGGGCTTTTAGTGAAGGGCTGCCTGTTAGTTCCAGTCTTTTGACTAGCTGCGGTCGCCCAAATTGGGACCGCTGGTGTTCGGCTGTGGTAATACGTACTGAATATGCTGCGCTAGTTGCAAAACATCGTGATGGCCACGGTCAGAATGTTATTGCTTGACCATGCTCGATTCCAGTATAGCAACTAGATGACGGATGCGAAAGCAACGACAATTTCTATTTTCTCATACGAATTTCTAAGTGTTATCATAATGAGTATGGCGGAATTCGAGAGAAAGGAATTTAACTATATTTGCGACTCGGCCATTATATGCTCGGTATATACAACAGTTGTCATACGAGAAATGTGCATGCGCGGTGAGTCATGTCGCACATAAGTCCACGTAATATTGATTGATGCTGCTGCTATTGGTCCATTCCTCTTGTATGTATATACTATAGACATCATATTGGCAAGTGTATTTGCTCTTCTGTGAGTGGTATCGACCACTGTATTCCGCACAGCGGCGCTTGGTTCGAGGAGGCATCGATTTCTGACTCTCCAATTTCGAACTATTACTTTGAATCTTCGCACAGGAACTACTGTATAGTAGTATATGCGTTCTTGCGAATCCTGGTGACCTGACACATCGATGTTCATCGAGAAATACACAAAGCCGCGCATTCTCAAAACACATATTTTCATATAAATGTCGAGCACAATAGATCAGATAGTTGCCGTTGCCAACTTGTTCGAGCTATATTCCAATTCCAATACATGAAGAAAAACGCCACTGATTTATATCTAGATTATCCTTAGGGCATTATAGCTTCGAGGGCATTATAGCTCCGGATATACCAAACGGCGCGACAAAATCACTGCTAGCATTCGAAGAGTTCTGCACCTTTGACTGCAAAGGATCAGACGAATAATCAGTTCTTATTTATATGAGAGCTCATAGGCTAAAGTGACGGAGAACTACGGTTTACTAAATATGGCAGTCCAAGAAATCCGCCCAATGATATTCACTAGGCGGGTTCACGTTCTACAATATAATTGCCGCATCGCAATGAGGAAAACTCTCCCCAATCCGACATACAGACGCGAAATTGCAGAGAGCTTCACATTATGTAGGAAACCATGCTCCATTATACCATAAGATACGTGGGCCATGACATGCCTCAGGACTCAAGGGCTACTGGGATCAGAAGTATTCCATTAAATATCTTTCATTTGAACAATAGTTGTATTCTCACAGGGACTAATACATGTATTTTTTTCACTTCTTACCTTGCCAGAAAGCAACCTTGACACCATCGCCCGGCTGGAGCACAATCTCGGCCTTGAGGGTGGGCTTGCCACCGTCAACTTCCTGCATGAAGCTCTCGACCCTCTCGAACCTCTGAAACAACCTCGTGAGCACGTAGCCCATTTCCGTGAGGGCAAACTGCTGCCCGATGCAGATGCGGGGGCCACCGTTGAAGGGCACGTACTGCCAGGGCTTGGGCTGCCAGTGGAACCAGCGGTCGGGGCTGTACTCGAGGTAGTGGGCAAACTTGTCGCTGGGCGGGGGGTAAAAGGCGGCGTCGCGCTGCATGACGAGGGTGCTGTAGCCGATGGGGGTGTCCTTGAGGATGGGGATGGGCAGGGAGCCGTCCGGGCCCCCGCCGCGCGGGAGCGTCGTGTCGCGGAGGGCCAGGCGCACGTTGAAGGGCACCACGGGGTACAGGCGCAGGGTCTCGTTCATGACGTTTTGCAGGTACTTCATGTTCTTGAGGTCGTGGTACGTGGGCTTGCGCTCGAGGCCGACCTGGCGGATGATCTCGTCGCGCAGCTTGCGCACGCACTCGGGGTGCCGGCTGAGCTCGTAAATGGTCCACGACAGCGTCGAGGCCGTCGTGTCGCGGCCCGCCAGGAGCACGGCGACGAGCTGGTCGCGGATCACCTTGCGGTCCCGGGTGAAGAGTGCGAGCTCGTGCAAGAATGTGTATCCCGTCTCGGACTTGGTCTTGGTGGCAAGCTCCTCAGGACTGAGCTTGAGGGCGCGATCAATGTACGTCTCACAAAGCTTGTTGATGACCTTGAGACCGGCGCGGAAGGACTTGAGCGGTACCCATGACTGCAGGGGTCCAGCACGAGCACGGATATTCTGGACCCTTTGTACTTCATTGAACGCATCGGCAAACTCTTGACGCGGTGTTCTGTCGAGATCGTTAGTTCCCGTAATTCCATGTTCATGTTATCATACGAAATACTCACGTGAGAGACTGAACATCCAGGCCTAGCAAAAAGTCTGTGGCAACGTCGAGAGAATACCTAAAGAACAAGTCGCTAACCTCGACAGTCTTGCCATTCCCAGCCTCCATGTCAACCAATTGATCCGCCCCATTGAGCGCCTGACCATTGGCAATGGCTCGGAAAAGCGTGTCGAGATGCGATTCGAAGCAGTCCAGGTCACTGATGCGCTCCCGGACAAACTGCGGTCGGATGAGCTGCCTGCTGTTGTGCCATCTGTCTCCGTCGGTGACAAAGATGCTGTCGCCGAGGAATTCGGACCATTCGCGGTGGAAAGGCTCGCCCTTGCCGTAGTCGCCAAATTGTGAGGCCAAGATGGCCTTGATGTTCTCGGGGTCCGAGGTGAAAACCAGTCGCCGGCCAATGATCTTGCCCTCGGCCGTCATTCCTGGGATGCCATTGAACAGAGTGTACCAGGAATCGAGGTTCTTGTGATTCATGGTGGCGTTCACCTGCCTCTTTACAATATCAAGACCTGTGGCTACCGTCAGAAAAGAACAAGACAAGGCTGCGTGACGTAAGCGAGGCCAAACTTACCTAGAGGCCATCTCGCTTTGATCTTGGGCGCAGGCGCACCTGCCAGACGCCGTAGACGTTGTCTCTTGTCGACTGAGATGGCTAATTTGTATAGCATGTAACTGACGCTGATAAACACCAGCAGCCCCTTGAAGGAGACATTCTCAAAGAGAAGCTCCGTGAGACCCATCTTGGTGTAGTCGCGTAGGTTTTTGGGTAGTTTGCAAGGCGTAATCGATAATAAGGCGAAATGTTCATGTTGAAGCAATCAATGCTCGATCAATGGTGTTCACTTGCATGGGTACCACTTCTTTACAGGATGGTTGTCGACACCAATCGCTCCACACATTCAGAATTATAGCATGAGGCGATTAATCAATTGGTATGTATGCGCGTTTGGTTCTGAGCGGCGGCCGGGGCAGAGCTGGACGTTATATAAACAGACGACGAGCAGCACGTACGGCGAGCGCGCCTTCAGCTCATACGTACTCCAAGGATGTGCATGCGACACACGAAATGTCGTTCAAGAAACGTGTGCAATGGTGACTATATCTTCGGGTTTCGGATGTCAGTCGCGAATCGGAGTGGAAAGAGAGAAAAGCTAGTTCTGCACAGGCATCGTCGCAAACCCCAGAGCGGAGGGGTTCTTGTATATGTAATGGGGAACCAGGCACAGGTCTAGGCACATTAGTTGCGACTGACTGACGAATGATAGGCTGGCCTTGTATAAATTAACTATTTCCACATCAAGAGAGTGACCCTAGGTCCGAGCATAACGGGAATGCCATTTCACTCTTTGCTCCTTGTGGCACGCGTCGCGTAGGCGAAGTGTGCTATTAATTCGGACAGTTCGTGGGTCCCGACCCGAAACTGGGGGAAGATGGAGATGGCGATTGGGGATCGAGGATTGGGGGGAACCCTCGGATGCATTCTCCCAGGTGAAGATGCACATGTCAGGGTCAAGGTCCATGTTAGTCAACGCCCAGGGTTTATGATGGATGCACCATCGGTTCTCTGATCAGATTGTGAATGAGGGGACGTTCATTGAAAACGAAAGAGCCATCATTGGGACTGACTGTGAACCCCTGCTAGCAGAGGTCAAGACGGGTGCGAGGACAAGCGCTCGCAATGCAGAGGATGACCAAATGGTGAAGATTATTGAGAAATCGTGTGCCGAGGTGCATTTGAATATGCCCACGTCGAATAGAATAGGTATTCAATGTAAATATGCTGACATGTTCCTGCTTTCTTGGTTCGCCCAAAGCCGACATGCAGGCTAGCACGTTACCTAACATAAGATGGTTATAGTTGACGGTCATTGGGACACTGTAACCTCGAATCGTTCCCTACGATCGTTCCCTGACAATACTATACTTGCCCTGCGTCTCAAATACTCAGAGGCTTTGCGTGTCGCTTCGATACCTTACTCTAGATCCAACGTTGCCTGCATTCCCGCCAGACTGGACTGGTTTCCACCTCAACAGGATGGCAAAGGATGGCTGGATATGCGAGATCTAGGAACTGGGTACTTTCAAGATTCTGAACGGCGTCAATCGGGAAGCCGAATCGCATTCCCCTTCCGGCCTAGCGACGCGGCAACACGCCTCTTGTCGGGTTTAATAATGGGTCTCTTATTGCCCATGCATCAGTCCCTAGCATGGAAATAATTAATATACTTTTCTTTGATTTTCTTCTTTTACATGTCCTGTGCGAGTCTCGTATTATCAAGAGTTTTACATGAGTTGCAATATTCACCTTGAGGGAAGAGCTGACTCGTCAATTTGTAACCAAAGGTCAAGTCGTACCATCCAAGAAAGATCTGCAAAGTTTACGCAGATCGACCGCGGGGTAAAGGCACACACACCTCTCTTTCTGGCTCTCAATAGCGGCCACTGCCGAGGTGCTCACGTTCTGATTCTGTAGGGTACTCTGTAGTTACAACGAACCAATGACCAAAGATCAACTTCCGCATGATGCAAAACTTACCCCTCACATCGAATCATTGCCGAAAAGCGAGGGAAGCAAGCACTGCAGAACTAGAAGATGTTCTGTAGTGCCAAGGGGTCAGTGGTGC